TCCTTACAGGCTGGCTGATGTATTGGAGGCCGTGGAACAATGAATGGCGCTGTGGCATGTTTGTGAGCAGTGGCCTTTAAATCTCATAGGTCCAAGGTATTCGCTCATGAATAAATAAGCCTCACTGCATACGTTCTCTGTACGCACGGAAGCTAGGTGAGATTTCATTGCAGTAAACATCCACTGCAGTGTCAGCACAGCAGCGGTAGTCACATGAACAATTCTGATCTTCCCCAGGGAGTGCTGATTTTTGACAAGACCGCAGCCGACAGGGTCACAACAGCCAGGGTGCAAACATTTTGCACCCTTTTGTCTGTGGGGTTTAGGTATATCATGTCACTGTGTTTAGAAACGCTCCTCTAGTCACAATGGCTCATATCACTGGACTACTGAGGTATGACAGGCTCTATATTTAGCCATATTGCATAATAAAGCAAAACACTTTTATCATAACTATGATGTGAGTTAACATTTACCAACTGTTAGTGTTCAGTTTATAAACCTGAGGAACAACAACTCCCATTTATTTGTTTTTATCAGGGCAAACTGGCTCATGCCCATTAATACCAACAAGGCCCAATGAGTCTTCATTATGCATTAGATAAGGATGAATGCACATTGATCTATGGACCAGCAGGAAGTCTTTACTGTAGTGTTTGTGCATTTGTTTTACTGGACAGCCTCAAACATCAGGGTCTGAACAGCCACCTGGTATACTGGAGTGAAGTACCAGGAGGACCAGTGTACACACTACATCACCAAAACCTACAGGGATCATTTGAACCTTCTCTGAGCCTTACTTTACACTTTGACCTTTAAATGTCATGTTAAAGCAGCTGGCGGAGTCACTGCACAATAAAAACAAGAATTGCCGCATTTGTTTCATTTCACAATTCATTGATTTTGGAAATGAACATTTAGATTAGTTTCTGCCTTTTGAAAAGCAATCACACAATATGGCAGTTATATTATAATTTCTCCGAAACACACCGCGCAATACTTATCTAAGCCACTCATGAGTGAGTACACCTTGCTCTACGGTTGGAAGGCACTACGTTTTTACTGCAATAACCATAAACACGACAACACAAGTGATTCAGTTAATGGCAACTTTAGTTTTCCCACGAATAGCAAAACAAATGCAACATTTTTTACCATCGCTAAGTTATCGCAACCGTGTCTAACAACAAACATGAAAGCATTAACTTAAACTCAAGTCAATCATTCAATTGTTTATAACTTAACTTTATTTACCCCGTTTTGTTCAGCTGGGTTTCACTTGCAGGAGAGCTTAGTGAAGGAAAGTGGAAAAGTATTACATTATTTAGGCCTATCAAAAGAAGATCAGTTAGAAATGTCTACATATGTGTGATCATTTGGTTAAGAAGATAGTTCAGAAATATAGTGGTTTGTGGGAATTTTACTGTTTGTCTCAGTATCCAAGAGTCAAAGACTAATAAATGGTCTATTTTAATGTAGTCTATTGGTTGTAGTAATAAGTTATGTCAAACACCAAAAGTAAACAATTTCTGCTTAATTATTTTGTGTACACAGGCAGAAACATGGCATAATGGAGGAATTCATAAGTTATTTGCAGTGCAGTGTTTAATCTCCACGTGAAGAAACCCTCATAATGTGAATAATCATTATTTAACTCAACCAATGTAAAACAATCTCTACATTTTGGATTGATATGAAAGGACAATATGACGAGGAGCTGTAAATGTCTGCTGACTTTTCAGATGTTTGAATGATGATTGATGGATTTTATTGTTTTTTTGCTTCTGATGATAAAAGGCCAACTGTCACTTCTCTGAGCTCATAAAACCTAGCGAGTAAATTCACTCTCCTTGTGGAATGTATTTTCATCTAACAGGTTTACTGTCTATTCTTCTGGAAGGAGACCGCACGTATTCCTACTCATGCAACAGAATCACAGCCTCAAATTTAGATGCTATTGTTGTCTACATGGTTTATTGTGTCGAACCATCGCACCCATAATGCATCACCAGATTAATTTTGTGTTTATTACACAATCATCTCTGCCATCGATTGTACCGCTGCACACACATTCATCACAGGTGTCAATACTCCTGTGGTCATGACTTTGGTGTATGTTTCTTTATCTACGGGAGAAGATGTGAAGCTTTACCAGAGTGCTAATGAGCCTCTTGTCACTTGAACAGGATGGGCAATTAGATGGAAATAGGCAAAGGGCAGAGGAGGACTACTTAATGAGATAACTGTCCTGGAACATTATAGCTAACACCAGTGAACTGATTTTTTAGTGAACAAATATGAAAAACACCACTTTTTCAGTACATCAGCAGCATTTCTGTAAAGAGGACACGCATTATGGCAGTTTGCTCTGTTGGTGTCGCACCCGAGCCTGCAAAGTTACAGTTGTCTTCTCTTCCTCTTTATTCATTGATAGAACAGCAGCAGGTAGTCAGTCAGGGGAATGGCCAAAGCACCCCTCCCTCCTCATTTGTCCATCTCTTTCCAATGGCAGCACTCCCACACCCAGAAGGGAGTAGGCAAAGGTGTCAGTACATCAGACTTGGGACTGCACCATTGATAGCAGGCAAAGGGGGGAGCAGAGAGAGAAAGTTGAATCGTGCCAGCTGAGGAGGCTCAGCTGCACAGAAACACCCCCCTAGACGCGGATCCGATTATGCCCGCCGGTGTTCATCAGCATGTTTCATTTGTGACCTGGCAGCCTGTCTCTGAGGTTGGAGATAAGGGCTGGTGCTCCGCTGATTGTGAATGGGGTTCTCACAATATTATCAAATATAAACATCCTCACATTTGATTTCAAGCTGAAGAAAAACATCCCATTGAGTAATGTGGTGGGGAAACATGTTATCTCCCACCTGTTCCAAAGCCAGATTTCACATCCAGAATAAAATCAATATTTGATGGTGACTCTTGGATTGTATTCTTGCATATGGCTGCAATCAGTCTTGAGGTTCAGTCTGTCTTTTCTCCATTTACTGGGTCTTTAGCAGTCCGACTCCACAGAAGTAAACTATAAATATAAGGCTCAGTAAATCACAGCGCAGTCTGACGGCTCATTGCCCCTCTATTCTGTGCTCTGAGGTGAAATATTAAAACTGGATCCAAGGGCCTCACTGCAGCTTCTCCCTCAAGTCTTCTGTGTGAGACGAATAAAAGATAAAAGCACCCAGCTCAAGGTCAATAGATGGAGAGCTGTGTTTAATGATGCACTGGGAGGAAAATTTCTCCTGTGGCACCATTTATCAGATATGCCCCCCCCCATTGTGATTATTTATAGAGCTTTAGGGTGAGCAATACAGCAGAATTCTGGCTGTTACAGAAGGAAGCACGGCACATTGTGTCCCCTGTTGCATAATTTAAAGGTGTGATAAACTGTGTTTACATGAGGTGAGTCACACAGAAGCGATGAACCAGAGGCTGCAAAACCAACCTCGTGATAAGAGGTTGGTTTTGCAGCCTCTTGGGGGGGGGGGGTACTTTACTTCAGTGGCTCATTCACAGCCGTACTGCAGAACACCAGTAGATGCAAGAGAGGAGGAGGAGAAAAAAAAGAAAGAAAGATGCTCACAGGGTGAGTAACCCTCATATGATCGGTGGTTGCCATGGCAACTGATCCCAGCAGTCAGCCCTTGGAAAGTGAGTCACATGAGTGAATTAAAGGAGACAGGAGGCCTAGTGTGTATACATGTTGTTGGCTGATGCAGTACTACTTGGTCATGTGTGTGTGTGTGTGTGTTTTGGGGATGTCGTGATGAAAGCAGTGAATTGCTCAGTGTTAGCACGTATACAGCAGGGTTAGGATGTCCTGTATGTATTTTCTAAGACGTTATAGGTCACATGAGTGGAACATGATGTGCAGTAACAACAGCAACCACCGGACACCTTCACTGTGATAATCTGACACTGACACATATTCTAAATGCTATGACGATAGTCAGGAAGTTATCAGTGGAAAAACAAACTGTCACTCCTGCAGGATATCCTTCAGCGTCTAGTAGCACATTGCATTTCTAAATACTCTAATCCCCCCAAACAGTATCTATGTCTTTGTTTGACTCATACCTTCTGACAGCCTAATTTTCACACTCAAAGCTTGTTCTGGTGACAGAGGGAGGATGGTGCCGCTGAAGCACTTCTGTACAAACTGCAGCACTGTTTATCCTCGTGTCCCACATTGTCGAGGATTATACTCACAACTCCCTGAAACTTCAAATTGAAGGGTACCCAGTGTTCACAAAACCCTGAGTTGTCTGAAAAATGAACAATTACATGCATGAGAGCAACAACAAGAAAATAAGTCATGCAAACTTCTCTGTTAATCTCTGTCTATTTAGTGAGAATAAAAAGCTTCCCATTAGGCCAGAAGAAATAATATGGAGTGTGGAGCATTGGCAGAGGGCAAGATAAATTGATGGAGTCAGAGAGACAAATTACTGTGCCACAAATTATCTTGAGAAACGTCCATTAGGAAGCACATGTCTTTACACACCTATTTCAGTCTACAACAGCAAATGATTAAATGCCAGTTAGGTATTAACGTCAAGCACTGCCTCTGTAATTGAGGTAAACTGTGTCAGGGTATAGCTTCCATCAATGTAAAGATGAACTGCCTGTATGTTTCTTAAACTACTTCTGCAGATATAAGAAGAAGAAGAAGAAGAAGAAGAAGAAGAAGAAGAAGAAGAAGACGAAAAAGAAGAAGAAGAAGAACCACACTAATAATAACCACACCAATAATCATAGTAAATAGATAAATTAATAAATAAAATAATCATCATCATTATTCTCATTAGCGCTGCTGGGAACGCATTCTTATTAATCTTAACACTTAACACTTTTTCCACTAGCAGCATATCAATTCGTTTGATGTACATGATTGAATGATACATGTGTAATTATTTTATTATTGTCCTGGGAACACTGCAGATGTTTTTTTCCCCCTTTTTGGATCAACTGCTGACGTGCGCACGAGTCGGTGAGTCAAACCTGCGTCAGACTTCGTCGTGACAATTGCCATGGTAATTTATCCATACCATGGGGAGGTCATTTATCCCACAACACAGCCATAACCACGTGGAAACCAGAGGTGTGGGCAGGTATTTTGCAGAGCTGCAGACCACCGTTAAAGGGGTAAACAGTTGCGATAAGCCTTAACCTGCACAAGTTAATGCAATTACAGTAACCAAACTTGTGGCAGGCGTTGAGATCCTGCGTCAGATTTAATTTACGCACCATGCGCCCTGTGTGACTGCAAGCAGATCTCGGATCTCTGGGCGCGCAGATGTTGTGTACAGAAACAGTGGCTGAATGAAGAGACCGTCCACTCACTTTGGATTCATCCTGTCACGCTGACTCGAACGGTACAACCCACTCTGCTCATTACATACGGTAAGACTAACCATTCATTAACCATCTTCACAGTTTGATCAATCTAGGTATGTTTGCTTTACTGACTCAAATAAACCGTATTGTCGTGAATCGTTCGACTGACCAGCTATAGTTCTCCCCGCGCCCCCACCCCCTACCCTCCTCAGCTATTTTTTTTTTTAAATTTACTTGATAGAGACGATCCTCATCACCTGACAGATGGTGGTTTCGCCGCAACATTGACGGTGAACGTCGCTCATCAATCCTCCGTGTTTGACGACGCCGCGCCATGGGTGTCCAAATGTGGCCCGTATACGTGACAAATTCTGCGCGGCTGCTCATCACCTGCGGACTTGTACTAGGGTTATTTGCATCTCCGCATCGCTATAATTATGTGATTCATTTGACCTTGACGAGGCATCCGAGGTTATATCCCCGTACAGAGTCAGTCCTCCAGCTGTACGCGAGCCTGTGTGTAACGCGTCTGAAGGATGCCTGAACACGGCCATGCAGGTGCTGTTCTGTACCTGCCAGAATCACTGTGCTGTTCAGATGGGGGAAAGTAATTCATCAGTACTGAGTGGCATCTGTACAAACCTTATATTTTACAATGACACACTTCTCTGCCTGTGATGGCTGCCTGATTGACCCTGCAATAGATCCCACAACAGACCGTCACCTCCGGCTTTGCCACAATCTATCGTCCCCCTTCAGTCCTGCCACAGCAGCTCCATGTTATTTGCAGCCAACCCTCGGGGGGGGGGGGGGCATCATGTCTGTCCGTTTGAGAGGGTGAGGGGAGAGATAGTCGACCACGGATGCTGCAGGGATGGGATTTCAATTTTGCAGGAAGAGCCATTGCTTAGCAACCAGACAAGATAGAAGTGGAGTGGGTCTTTGCAGGAGAAACAGAGAACCTGTTCTGTTACGTCATCAACACCAAACTCTCTACAGAGAATTGTGAATTGTGAAATATATAGTTACAGGTTACAGTTACAGTTGATTCACACATCTGCCTCATTTGACTGCACATGTGGGTCTCAGGGGTCTGAACCCAACACTCCCATTGCTTTGAGGTTAATACATCCTTCAGTATCTGCAGCACCTTTTCCTTTGCATTCATGTTTGCTTGCTTCCTTAACACTCTTCAAATCCTGCATTTTTCTCCTCAGTATCGTGGAAAAAACCCAACATCACCACCACTCACCATGTTTCCCTCAGATTGATCCTTGAGTCATACTCTATAACAGTCTTGCACTGTACATGCAGTCCTGCTGTCTCTATGTGCCATCTGTGTCAGCACATACTGTGAAACTCTGAAAGTTGCTGGTGTATTTCTGCATCAACATCAAAAACTTTCACTGCAAACATGATTAGAAAGTCAGAGTAAGAATCGGCCATTTGTGTGTAGCGGGCCACCATCCTAGTAACCCGTGAGCAGTAACTGGTACAGTTTGTTACTAATATTAACACTTCCATTCATAAGAAAAGTAGGGCAAAACATTGTGTGAACAGTCTGTCAGAGCTCCACTTCACTCGACACACATTATAATCCCCAAAACTCAGCATCTTGGCCAAAAAATGTTTGCAAACATGCACATCATCGCTTCACACCAAATTCAGAGAGTGTTTGATGATGACTCAGTATCGCGTATCTGTAGACTGCTGTGAGAAAGGTCACTACTGTTCTGAGATCTGTGTCGAGCTCTCAGCCTCTGAGCTGCTGCGTGTCGTGACTGCAGGGGCTCAGTGCCGCTGTTGAGGAATGTAATGTGCGTGCTGCTGGTGCGGCCTATGGGAGGGCTCCGAGTCCAGCTGTCTGGCAACCGTTTTTGAGAAGTCACTGTGAATAAAAGAACCAGCTCTGATGATTTCCGTCGGCTGCATCTGTTTTCAGATTAGAGGCCTGGTGTCCAGATCAAACACTTCTGGTTTCTATTCTCTGCTCTTGAGCTGCCAGAGTGAAAAGTCAGACAGCTGAACCTGAAATCTGTCTTCAAAGTGCAGTTTCTTTGGTATTTAACCAAGATTGTTAAGATGGCCTTTAGTTAATTAGTTTTTGTGCAGTAAATGCTAACTGTCTCACTATGTTTTCTTTGAGGGTTAACGGTCTAGACATTTTGAGCATTTAATGCTCGCAGCTACAAATTTCCATTTTAATTTACAAGGATTAGTTCTCCAGTGTTTACAGGGTTTCCCACAGTGTTTTATAGCAGAGGTGGAAATAAAGACCACCTCTTGTAACATCATTAAAGAGCAGAGATGCTTTGTCACCCAGAAAATACCATTCATTTAAAGGAAACTGATTTTACACATCAAAATCAGTCAGGTCTTGGGAGTACTGTAAATGTGAAAAAAGTAGTTTGAAGACTTTTGTGGCTCCAGAAGGAGCATAGATTACCTCAAGTGATTTCACTGGACTTAGCTTTGGAGCTGTACTCTGAAAAAGAAAAGAATATGGGGGAGTGAAGTTGAAAAGTGAGTTCTGAAGCTACTTTAGCCACCGTTAGCATAACACACCTGACTCTCTACCCTAACTGTCTTTGGTCAAGTTGCATTGTGGGTAAGGTAGACACCAGGTTTTAAAAAGGAGAAAAATGAGTGGAATAATTGCGTTTGCTTTTTAAACTGTCCATCTTGAGTCTGTGAGACGTGTTATAGGAGTGTAATGCTAGATTGATGGAGTACTCTTTTAATCAACATGCCTTGTTTAACTGAAGTAATCACACGACAAGTCGTCTCAGGATCTGGGGGGCTTACCAACAGTAAAATCCTCTTTAACAGAGGAAAATCTGACCTTCAATTTATTCTGACACAGTAGCTCTTATACTGTGCTGTTATTTGCACACAGGAGTATTAGTGGATTGGATTAACAAAGGGCTTCAAAAGGTGACACATACCAGAGAACTCTACTTTCCAGACAACTTGTTTCTTTTCAGGAGCTCTTGGTTTCTCTTGGACTCTTCAGCCTCTGAAATCTTAAAACAACATTCCGACAAGACGTTAAAGCTGTGTGATGAGAAAGAAATTCTGACGTTAATTAACGATGAAACATGTGCTTGCAGGCTTTAGTTTTATAGCACTACGTTCTCCTGAGACCAGCAGTCACACAGACAGACTGTTCACTGCTGTGCATGCTATTCACATGACTCAACTTTGGTATAATGGGCTCTGCTGTGAAATTGCTTGTAATCCAATATTTGTGTCTCATTCTCCATAATGAAGTGGATTCCTGAAATACCTCACTTGTGGTTCTTAAGTGCTGCAGTTCTACAAGCTTTCCAAAATACTCCATGTGCTAATTAGCAAATAGGAAACGCAGCGTGCATTATTCTGAACCGAAATGGATAAAGTCGGAATCAGAAAATATTGGGAAAAAAGCTGATCACAGTTTCGCAAATTCCAAATTGACATATTAAAATGTCTTGTTTTGTCCAACCAGCAGTTGAAAACCCTAAATTCTGGTATTTTTGTCAAAAAATGACTTCAACAAATAATCATCAGCTATCAAAATGAGTTTCCCATACGCTCAATAACAAAATACCACCTTAAGCTGTATGACTTAAGTTTGACTGTTGTGATAACATTTTATGGTTAATTTCTTCCCTAAGCACCTACATTTCCTGTCTGTCTCCAATATTTCTCTTCACAGATTGAAGAAAAAAAAGCACAACTTTCTTTCCCTGCTTCCTCCTGATCACCTCAGGCTCTCCTCGCTTCCTCCTCTACCTTCAACCTGAAGGCGCTCCGGTGTTGCAGCCATGCCAAAGAACACCAAGGTGACCCAGAGGGAGCACAGCAATGAGCCGGTCACTGAGTCGGTGGCTGACCTGCTGTCCCTGGAGCACCCCATGGACTATAAGAGCAGTCAGATGAGTATGGGTCTGAGTCCCGGCTCTACTGCCCCAGTAAAGGCCCTGATACCCTCCCCTGACCCAGACGCAGAGGACGGCCGACCGGCCTGGAACAACAAGCTGGAGTACATCCTGGCCCAGGTGGGCTTCTCTGTGGGCCTGGGTAATGTCTGGAGGTTTCCCTACCTGTGCCAGAAGAACGGAGGAGGTAGGTGGATGTATACCTGAACATGATTTTGGTGCATATTATCAGTCTGAATCACAGAAATGTGCAGCCCAATGTGCAAAGTGTAGAAACACTTCATGCATTTTTGTTGCAGTTTGTTCCTAATTGGGCCACCCATGGTGAACATGTGTCCCCTCAGGGTGCTGAGTAATTGTTAACAAAAGAAATGCTGTTATTTTATTTATTACTGTAAAATCCTCAATAAAATAAGTGGCCAGATGGGAGTTGTTAACTTAGTAGTAACAATTTAGATGTTATCCTTTTGTTTGGGTATGAGATTTGTTTTGTCTCGTCCACAGCGTAGGATCGGCGCCTGCCAAGTGTTTGCTGAGACATGATTTGATTGAGAATGCACACTGGTCTCTGTGATTAGCGTGACATTTTATGCTGAATTGCTCATCTCATAAAACCACCATTTGCATAGAATTACAAAAAGAAATACGTTCTACTAATTCAGCTCTTATTTCCTCCACCAGATATAAATCAATAAGCTCTGTATTTTCTGTCTGTTGTTGTATCTGACACACACACACACACACACACACACACACACACACACACACACACA